GTCAATGCCATGTTAGAGGTTATGCACATCCAAAACAAATTGAATATTTTTATTCTCAATAATAGTGTTGTTCTTCTTTTTTATTATTTCTCCGCCTTTTTGATTTGCCATGGAAAGATAGGAAGGGGAAGGAAATAATGCATGAATGCAACAGATACAGCCTGCTTTTTATTTTGGAGTTTTGTTCACTTATCCAAAAGACAACAGTAATAATAGAAATAAAGTTATATTTACTATGTAAATATATTTTATCTATTATACTTATTTCTATCACCTTATTTTAATATATTTTATCGACTATATCTTTTTATGGTATTTATATAATAATTTATATCAGAAAAATATTTCACTTTTCTAAGAGAGGGCAACAGCCTCTAAAAAACACCACACTTGAGAATGGGCTGTCAGGTCTATCACACTGTGGCAAAACGCCCCCCAGCCATCCTCCGCTGCCCTTTCCAGCTCCTCTCTCTAGCACAACTTCCAAGTCACCCCCGGCCCTTCTCCCTGACCCGAGGGCTCCACCTGGTCGGGGATGGTTCCCCCCTTTTGGCCTGGCTCAGATCCAGGGGAATTCAGGTCCTTTTGTTTCTCCCTCCTGTACCTCCCTTGCATTTTTTGACAGTAATATTTTCACTGTCCTTCATTCTTGGCTCTGTCCCAATGGAGTTTCCGTACACGTCCCTTGATTTATAATTGCATTCAGGGAGGTCTTTTGAGCCTCAGGCTTGGGAAGGACTCTGCCCATTTGCCATTCTGCAGCCTTTACACTTACTCATTCCTCTTTCCTCCTCACCCCCTTCATTCCCTCCGCATTATCTCCCTCTCCACCTCCACAAAGTGCTTTTATCAGCTGCACTAAGATATCCCAACTGTAAATTGCTCAATTCCACCAACTTACTAAAACTTCAGACATGGGCTCACCAAGACTGGCTCGGTCATTTTCTTCCAGCTCTAGTTTTTTCCAGAAACGTTACCCCAATCACAGCCAAGACCCATCTATCTGTTTTTGAGGTACTGTCACACCAGAAGAGCAGCTTACACAGCCGTCCCTTACACCACAGGAAAAGGAGCCTGTGCCAAACAGTTTAACCCACAGGCTTGTGCTAAGCCAGCTGACTCGGGCTGAAATGAGTTAGAGAGCCCTCACACCAGCTGCCCAACGCAGTCCGTGGACAGGAGGAGCAGCAGCTCCCAGGGTTGGTCAGTAGCTTCAGTAGCTGCAGGCGCAGCACCCACACACCCATGCTACGTGATGAGGAACTGCAAGGCAAGGAGGATGATGAGAATTCATGAAGGAAGAGTGAAGACCCAAGCTACTTCAGCCATTTCAGGGCCAAAGCCAGAGGAGTATTTAGTAGCAGTTCTTTTATTTCGGACAAAAAGTCCAATCCATGTGTTCAGAGAAGTGGAAATGAGAGTTCAATGTAAGGCAAACACTGCAAATTGAAACAATTATTCAATGTTGAAATCAAAGAAAATTACCCCCTCACATTTTACCATTCTGAGCAGATAGAACGCTCTCAAGGAGAATGTTTCCTTCCGTTTCTCTCCTGCTTAAAAAAAAAAAAAAAGATTAAGAGACATTCTAATCCCTGAGTTATCTCATTAATGGTACAACTGGTAAAATTAACAGCAAAAATGAAACAATTTCATTATTATTTTAATGGCTTTTAAAAACATATTGCCTTAATATTTATAATTGTACTCTTAAGATTAATAATCCTGATTTCTCACCTCCCCATCAGAAACCATTTGTCATACTTATCCAAATTCCACAGAACTTCACAAAGAAAAAAAATTGAAAATACATCTTGAAGACTTCTGAAGTAAAAAGGAAAGACACCATGTGCATCCATAAATTATTTATTTCAAATCCAGCTCTCAGTGTACACTGTACATGAAACACAGGCAATCCTATAAGCATTCAGGATTGGCAATGTTCATTAAGTCTCAAAACTGAAATCATCATGCTGATGCCAATGTGCCAGTTAAACACAGACTCTAAACTTAAGTGGAGAGACCAAAAAAAAAACCCCACACAGAAGTAGCAAGGAACAAGATTCCTATAGTCTGTTAGGAAAATATAATCCAGAGCTATACCCTGCCTAAAGAACAACTTGCCCAAAAGTCTCATGGATTCCCTCCAATTCCAATTTTGAGGCAGATCAAGATGGCTCAGACCCTCTTTAAGAAAGACACAAGTTAGATCTTGGCTGTTGTTCAAATTCTTTCTCAGAGTTTACTGGCGAAATCCCATTAATCCACCCGAACCTTTCCGTTGACAAGATAATTTTGTGACTTTGTGTAAAGCTAATCAACCAAAATAGTATTTTCATCCCAGTAATATCAAGCCATAAAGGCTGAAGAATATGTTTGCCATCAAGAGTCAATGCCACACTCAAATTTGCTGAAACTGGTCAATGTTGGAAGGATATTTTGCCCTTGGATTAAGTCCCCACAGCCTCCCCTCCACACATCCAGGCATATGTTCAACCACTTGTTTTCATGAGTTCTAACACAGCTTGAAGGAGAAGCTCCTCATTAGCTGCTTCTGTACAGACTCAAACAGGCACCTCCATTCACCCACTGGCTTAAACAGCATCATCTGCAGCACAGAAAGTCAAACATATACAAACGTTTTCCACAAACCAATCTTAAAATGCCTGGCAACAAAGCCATCAGTGGCAGATGACAGCGTTATCTCTGAATGATTCCCAGATAAATACATCTAAATGTTAGTTTGGACCTCAGAACATCAGGTTGCCATGTCAGGAAAAAGCAGAAACACATGACTCTATACAATTAACAGTATTCAAAACACTTGCCTCTAAAACATGGCAAACTATGACCAAAAATGTTACACTTTAATTACAAAGCTTTTTATTAAAAAAAAAATTATCAAATATCTGTGCACACTTCATAGCTAAATGTCTTTTTTATTTTGAGTTCATTTCATTTGAACTTGATATTTTACTGACTTAAGTTGTATACTTTTTTTTTTTTTTTTAAATTCCACAAGGTAAAAACGATATTTTACTGACTTAAGTTGTATACATTTTTTTTTTTAAATTCCACAAGGTAAAAAAAAATAACCCATACACAAATACAGGAAATTGTATTTCTCAAGGGCTTTCCCCCCCCCCACCCCATGTCAAGAAGTGCAATTTTGCTTCTATGGTTCTTTGAAGTAAGACAGTTTTACCCATCAGTAACACAATACACTATGTTAAGAATTGCACCAGAAACCTTAATACAGCTTGTGTATCAGCTCTATCTAGCTTTTCCTATGCAGTGCTTAAGGTCACGAGAGATCTATATGAAAATCATGCTTACAGTAACTCATCTTTACCAGTATGGGCAGGTCAGTAAATGTACCCACACTCTGTGAAATTGCCTATGACTGCTGGAGAGTGGAAGTCAATAATATCTACAATTATACCAGTGAAATGTTTACATTTACTCTAACTGTTTTGCTTTTGCATACAAATGCAGGCTCTGCTTTAAGCCGCTGAGACTGTATGATTATATTGCAAGTCTATCATGGGGATAGATTCTCAAAAAAAATCCATAATTTAACGTAGAATCTGGTTTTTATCTCACTGAACTTGATTCTTCCACACATCCTTCTGGCCCTGCTTAAGACAACACAACTACTCCCTTTTTTTTCCCCCCACTAGCACTAACATGTCATCTCCTGGGGGAATTTTATAAAGAACTTAGCTTTGGCTTAACATTTCCTTCACTGAAAACAGTGAACTATGCTACTGGCTTTGGAAGGATTCTCAAAAGTTTTCTGGATTGACTCTTCAACATTTTGAGAAAACTAGAATACTAATTAGATTAGGCTTTTAATGACTCCAGGAACAAGGTTCTTCATGACTTCATTTCCTTTCAGCTGCAGCTGAAAGAAACTCTACATCTTACCATTTGTCTTAAAAAAAAACTAGAAGTCCATTCCCTTTAGTAGCCTCAAAAAGACTCAAGTTTTATTCCCATTTCCTCATGTTCTCCACTGCAGAGCACTGTTTTATGTGAAAAAGTAGGAAACACCCTGATTACCTTAAGTTTTAAGTATCCACTTAGGAAAAGATTCACCTGCTTTGAGACAGAAGACTGACTAGAACTACTGAGCACACCTGTTATATTTTAGCATTTAATCTACAGGGAGAAGAATCAAAGTTTATATTTAAATGCAAAAACATAATACCCTGCTCTCTAACTTGACAATGTTTCTAAACTTGAAATAGAAGTTTGCAGTGTCTGTTGAATCAAATAACAAAAGTTAAAGCTTGCTTAACCACTTCATTCTTACAACCACTATTTTTGCAAAGGAAGATCTTCAAACCTAGAAACAATACAGGGACAAGCACAGAAATGACATAAGATGGTGACAGAAAGGAACTAACAAGCCATCCTGGAAATGCTGCATCATGGAACTTGGCTGCAAATGACACACTGAGCAACGTCTTGCAATAGCAAGGTAATTCCTATTCAGATTTCTACTTAACAAGTACAGGACTATGGTATAAAAGCATCCAGCTTCTTAAAAAGAGGAACCGAGGACCTCTGACAGGCCTACTTCATTCCCAAAAAGAATATACTGAGAAACCAAGCTGCAACACTCTCCAACCTCTAGCATTTCCTCACAGAAAAGTAGGCATAAAATTATTACACGGTGAGTGTCTATGCCAGAAAATCTTACATGAAATGGATGGACACATCATTGTGTAAAGACAAATATTTCACAATGTGGAATGAAAAAATACAGTGCAAAACCCAAAGATTTCTGAAAAACAGTTTTTACATATCAAAAGCTCCCAGAATTAAAGAGAGGGATTATAAAAATAAGGTATGGTACTAAGAAGTGGTATGACAATTTAATAATGTGTTATTTCCCTCGTAGAGGTTTACACGTTTCACACCAGCATTTTGCTTTATGTTGTTACAGTATTTTATGTAGCATTATTTAAAAAGAATATTTCAGTCAGAAGTCTAATTTAGAATTCATCATGTTTTACCCTAAACGGCCACTTGGAATGCTGTGAAACATGATTTGCAGCCAGAAGCACCAAGTACATAAATTCTTCCACATCAAAGGAGTAGTTCGTAAATTTTGGATGTTCCCCCAATGTTGGGTGGTGTCCCTAGAAAAATGAAATAAGGCCTTTTAGACAGATAAAAAAAAAAGAGTAGAGTACATCTTCCATTCAAAAAGCAAGGAAAAAAAATTGAGCATCTGCCATTTTGATTTATTATTTCTGATCCAGTGATCTGCTCTGAGGCAAGAGTCAGCAAAATAACTGCATAACAGCAATGCCACGGATGGCTTGGATGAATGGCCAGTTAATTTCATTTCTCTTCTTCCCTCAGCCATTAGTATCAAATGATTTCTTAATCACAACAGGGAAGTTAATTTGATCTAAAGAATGAAAATAGTATTTCAAATATCAGAACATAGATAGGTAAAGCAAGCCAGCCTTAAAATGTTTCGAGTTATAGCACCCCACCCTCCCAGCAATGGCCATCATTACCTGATCTTGAGGGAATACTTTACTCCTTTTTCGCCAAGTGATGTAATGAATGCCTCTCAGCCTTGCTAAATCCAGGTAACAACGTTCATCTTCACAGTTGTACCTAGGGACAGGCACGAACAGCATATTTACCTACAGAGATTGTGCTGAAGTTTACCAGCATGAAACAGAAAAAAAACCCTGCAAGCCAAAAGTTTGTTGTCCAGTTCTAAGGCATCAAAACCACTGACAAATTCTGCTCCCCTGAAAACAACAACAAGGGCTACCACCTGTTCTCAAGATGTGGCCTAGGAGGCAGTTTGAGGCACATCTGCATGTTAGACATGTCCCTGTCCAGCTGTAGCAGCTCTTGGGCATGTAAAAAACCCAGGGTTTCTGAACTTATTTGGAGACTGGACAGAACACTCTCAAGCCAAGATTACACTGCAAAGCGCTGGCTCTGCAGCCTTCCCACAGCAGGGCCTTTAAGCAGAATTTCCCAGGATGGAGAAATCCATGCTCTTCTCACAAGCGTTCTGCATTTTTGTTTAGTTCTGTAGAACTAGAGTGTCTGTTAGAAACCATACTTTGTGACATACAGCTGAGCTCGGCCAGCAAGCTGGTGCTCGTGTCCTGAGCGCAGAAAGGAGTATGTAACCTTCAGGGGGATCTTTAACACCCTGGACGTGCACCTTATGTATTCACTTCACCTGGATCGCCAGAATACTGTTAGATCTCAGATTCACCAGGCACAATCTGACCTGTGAGGCTTTCTCATTTTTTGCTATTTTCCTCAAGCAACTGTTGACCAGGCTGCATTTTATTCATACCACAGCATCTTAAAAAACATCAGAGGCTTAACCGCTATGATTGAGTTACACTATATATTATAATGAAAACTTCCTCACTTTTGATTCCCAGAAGGGGTGGCTGCCAAAAATGAAGTCTAGACGAGGATGCAAGACACATTCATAGTCAAATACTGGCAAGGGAAAGTGCTTCATTAACACATAAGAACAGACATAAGCAGTTGTGTGTATAATAGAGGGAAAAGAGAGAAACAGACTTACAGCTCAAAAACAACAGCCCAGTCTGGTAGAAAGAGCAAATGGGTAAGTCCAGCTCCATGCATTCCAATTAATATATCAGAGTTGTGGGTAATTCTTAATTGCTCTGAAAATTCAAGTTCCCTGCAGACAACACAACAAAAATGGTGATCTAGCATGCCTATCCATCTCAGCACAAATCAGATACATGTAGAAAGCACAAAATTAACTTCAGGGAATACTGAGAATTGGGTTTTCAAGGAGCAATACTAAGAATCACAAATGCTACAGCCAGCAATAACTCAGCATGGAATTAAAAGAAATGCAGGCAGGTTTCAAAACTTCACAAGAGTCTACTCCAAAAATTCTATTTTTTTTTTCAAGTTAAACTTTTTGTAAGTTTGGGGTTTTTTTACTTGCTTTTTAAAAAAAATGCACCACCTTCTTAAAAAAAAAAAAAACAACAAAAAATACCTAAACTGTTTTTTAATGTAATGTAGAAGTATACAATTCCCACCTAAAGATGCAGATATCCAACCTGATCTTATGCATAGGGTATCAAGCAGAATGAGGAGACCAGGCTTTTTTTCAGCTCCTAGAACTGTCACTCTCTCCCATCCTTTGATTGTAAGCTCCAAATAAAATCTTCTCTTTAAATAACCAGGTGTCCCCTGAGCGCACACGGAAAGAATGGACTATAGATACTTAATTGTAAGAAGACAACAGACGACCGGCTTCATTTGTATATGAACAGTTCATACATTAAAAAGCAAGAGAGTAACATCCTCTCTGACCATTTGGAAGAGAAACTGGCTTAAACTGCAACAAGAGAGTTTAAACTGTTTAAACTGCTATAAGGGCAGAATGCTGCAGAAGAGCTGTAGGAATCTGTAATGCTGAATGGTACTACAAACAGTTTTGACAAGCACAGCAATTGTGGAACTACCACTTGGTCAAGCTTTCAAGTGGGATGGTCTAGATGCCCTCTCAAGGGTTTCCACCCTCTTTTCTATTGTTAGACTGCTCAAGTGCTTTCATTAACAGGGGAATCGAAAGCAACTCTTGACTTCCTCAGACTGTCTCTGCTTTGGTCAAAACACTGATCTCTCACTGCTGCTTCAGTTTCTCACTCCTCCTCCATGATCCATGACAGCACCATTGAGTAGATGGGAGCTGCTGCTGTTTGGCAAGGGCATACACCACTTGGCAACTTCTTTAAGCCATTTCTTACTGGCACAATGCCTGCTCCGTTTGGGCACCACAAACTGACCTCATCTGTCTTCAGGGTTATTATTCACTACTAAATAAGGATCATATAAAATAAGACACTAGCATCATACAAGAGAAATTCCTGTTGCCCCATAGTTACTGCAGAGCATTAGTAAAAACACAAGGGTGATGGGAACACAGCTGGTTTTGGGAGAGGGGAGGAAACAGGAAGAAAAGTGATTTCAAAATTCAATCATAGAGTAGCTTTAACCTGAGCCTAATAACTCAAGAGATTAATTCCCAAGTAGAGCATCATAGGATGGGAGTGCTTAACTAGCTCACCCACCACTCCCTCAGTAACATTCTTCCTTCCTTAACAGTTCTTGGATTTTGCAAAGGTTAGACACGGGAACACATGTAGCTTTGCCTGCAAACAGCTTTCACCAGAGACAGGCAGCATGAGATCACACTAGTTTCTTCTATCAACTTACGTACTTGTATTTGTAGTCTACCACTTTGACCTCCAATGTCGATACTGTTTTCAAAGCATTCACAAGCTAAGGAGGAAAATAAAAAGACAATGATTTGGTGTTCCCCTTCAATTAATTCCTCTACTTGCACTCATGATCATTTTACACACTCCTCCTCCCCACCAGAAAATTACGATGAGTGAGACAGAACATACTGTCACTGCCATATAAAGGAGTAGTTCCCCTCCTTTTGTGCCTTCCCACCTAAGATACAAACGTTATTCCTGGCAGAGCACCCCTGGAGAGGAGACTTGGATCTCCCACACTCTCATAGAGGCTACTGTTGACTTTTACATGCTCCAGCACCCAATCCTAAACCACTCAAACTAGTAGGAGTTTGTCAGGAAAAGTGGGAAGATGTGGTTGGATTTCCAAAAGATACTCCAATACCTAAAGAAGCAAATTGTTAGCTGGAAGGATTTTCAAAAATTACTAGGTCAGACTCCTACTCGCATGCGAAGTGAAACCAGGTGAGAGTCTGGGCTTCTAACCTAAAAGGGCTTTTTCTAAGTCTCCAATCCACAGCCAGCAGAAGAGGGGGAAAGAGCCAAAAGTGAAGCAAAGATAAGATTAACTTCTCCTCTCTGTCATGGGCTCGTTACCAGAAAACCTGCTACATGTAGCAGCGTAGGCATGGACTACAGACAACCTAGGAGGTAAGGCACCAATCTGCCACTGAGCTATTGCATCAAACGAGCCTCAGTTTCTCCCCGCTTAAGGCGGGGATGATAATGCCAATTCATTTCTGTCAGGCACTAACAGCTAAGAATGAAGACAGGTATGAAAACATTAGATATTATCATTTTACCACAAGAGAAGCTACATCATAACTCTACTGAGTAGTGTGACTGGAAAACGTGAATCAATATGAAAATTCATTAAGCTTTGAATGCACAAACTCAGATACAATAGCTTATGCATTTTAATCTGCAAGCATAACAAAGGGTTTTGTTAGAGCCTTCAACACTGGGAATGCTAGAAATAAAAGAGATAATCTGAAAGCAAAATAATTTAAAGTTATCAGAAGCTCTGCAGTGTCTGTTTGTTAAGAGGAAATACTTTTTGTATTACATCTGTAGTCTTCCAGAGGTTATTTAAAAAGGGCAGCAAGGCTCAGTGTCTGGTACACAGAAATACAGACTGGCTAGAAGACATATTAGAATAAATTAATATTATCACTGAACGTATTTGTCCAAGATTTGTCAGCAGACAGATATCTTGGCCGTACCTCAAAAAAAAAAAATCAATTAAATGAGCAAAATTTAACTTCTGATAAATTTGTTTTAAAAATAAAAAGGACCACACCTCATTCTGGTTTAATATTTTCCGGTAATCTGTACTGCGTGCAAGTATTGTGACTCGAATTTTCCCATCCTAAAAAGAAAGAAGCAGCAGTGTATTAGCTATGAGGCAGACCTCACCAAAAAAACCCAAACACTTCCATATTTACTTTTGGCAATTATTTGAAAAACTAAACATGTTCCCTTCCCATGTAATAGATGATGTAACCACCTTAAAATTCACATCGTATTTTCCAACAGATTAGAAGTGTCAAAAAACTTTGTGAAAGTCTGACTGTTAACAAAGAATAAAACATTTTCTGAAAGATTTATTTTATTCAGTACAAAAAGAGCCTTTGTTTTACACATTATACAGCAGTTTCTGAAAGCAGGAAAACAGCTTTCAGGATGGCTTGTGCACAAGATCCTTGGAAAAAAAATATTTTACTTCTATAACAGTTCCTCCTTTTACCTCTTTAAATTAATTGGACTCACAGGGGCAAGCGTTCCAAGTGAAATAAAGAGATTTAACTGCATGACTCCCATTAGTGTCAGCAGAAGCATAACTAAATGCCTGTGCAGCACTTTGAATGTGTGCCCCTCAGTGATAATATGTAGGCTACTCTCTAGCAAATACTTCAAGAAGCCCAGAACTGCCGTATCCATCAATGCAGCCATTGCAACAATTTGCAAAAACTACCAGCATGTACAATAGAGAGACCAGAGACAGACAGATGATAGCAGGCAGAAATTGGAAGGACCAGACTCAAAATTTCCTGCTCAGCAGCAACAATGAGGATCAATGAAGAGCAAGCTCACGGCATTGCTCTGTGGGATCCCTTCTGCTGTGCCCGAGGACAGCACCGTGTCAGCATGCTCCAGAAGAGACCATGGACCATGCATCTCACTTAACTAGGAAGGACACAAAGGCCTTGAGCACAGGGAACGGAGATGGGGAAGAGATCCTAGGAGGATGTTCTGAAGTCTTTCCTATGGAAATAAGACATGAGGGCAACTTTCACAAACATACACAAATGTTTGCTGAAGGCCTTCATAGAACAGGCTGGCTTAGTGGAAAAAAATCCTGTGCACCACAGGAAAGGCCAAAAAGTACATCATAGGCCCTTATTCCCTATTGGGTTCAGCTTGCTAATGCTGTTTCTCTGGTAAGAGCCATCAGCTCCAGATTACAACTTTATTATTCAGTTATCATACCTTGGGTCCCTCTTGTGTGATATTTAATCTGTGTAACACATGCTGAGAAAATGCTCTAAATAGCCCTGTACCGTGACAGCCAGAGATCTGAAATTAAAAAAAAAAAAAAGCAATCACTTAATACAAAAAGTTATTTTGCTCAGAAAACCTCTCTTTGTCATCAGTCCTTTGCCATTCTTGTGGAACAAAAGCCTAGTATCATGCACTGCGCTAAACATGTCACTATTCACTACAACACAAGTGGTACTTTCATTTAGAAAGAAATATAACTGTCTCTACAGTGTTACAGCCTGAATGCATGACCTAATACTCCCAGGAAAGTCTCTGCAGAGCACAAGAGCTTGTACACTGACAAATTCCAGTAAGTTCACAGTGCCCACCCATTAAAGAGGAGTCATATGCATCTCACCAGCTGTGACACAGGAGATTGCACACAAGCAGTTGCTATCAACCAGCTAAAGTGACTTAAAAATCCTGTTCTTTAGGGAAGATCATTTTATTTGGAGTTGCATAGACTTTCAATGCAGCACATTTCACAGTAACTCAGCTAGATATTTGAGAGATTAATTAGCTCAGCTCTTAAACTGTCGCACACACATCTAATTAACACAGTGGATAGATAAAAAGGACTCACCAGTGGTGTGTTATAAAACAATCCATACCGCATTCGAGGCAGTAAAGAGAAGACTGCTTCTTTAAAGCATACCTGCAAAGGAAGATCACAAGCAGTTACACTGCACTGCTACCTTCCGCTGGCATGTCCCATGCTCATTCAGTGGGATCACTGCTTATAATGAGCTAGAAATTACATGCTCCTGTCAAGAACATCCTCACTTCCTTGACTGTGCAAATGAATACAACAAAGACAATCCTGATCCCTGAAGAGCTCTCATTTAGGATGCTACAGATGAAAGTGTGGGAAGAGGTAAAAAAAACACCCCCAAACCAGAACAAACATGAAATAAATAGAAGAAAACCAGTTAGAGAGCAGAGAATTTAAGACAGGCTTTAAGGGATTTAAGAGACTAAAATTAGCTCTGAATGAATGGGTATATTTATTGCTAGGAGCTAAAATTTTTTTAATGATAAGCAGCAGGCGTATTAACAGTTGCAGGGGAAGATAAACACCTCAGTAAGAATCAGGATACTTAGAAAGACAGTACTGTTTGAAAACCCTTAACTTCAGGAGTGGGTCCTACAGAAGTGAAACCAATACATAAATATCAGCTCTCAGAAGACACAAAAGTTAGGTCCATCTGTGTAAGGTATAGACATGTTCCAGAATTAGGTTACAGCTCTGTCTTGTTTGTAAGGTAGAAGACTCATATTATGCAAATTAAACATGCATGAAAGTATTAACGCTTTCCTCTGAAACACCCATATCCACAAGCAGCTTGAGAAGCTGCCATATTTGCTACCTGGTGACTATGAATTAAAACAAAATATAAAATGCCATACCCTTTTAGAGTCAAATGTTTTCAAGTGTATTATTTCATAGTCAGTAAATGCCTTCCATGTCTCACTGAACAGGTCACCATAGCCATAGGAGCTCTAGGAGGAAAGGAAAAAATACAGGGGCATAATGATTACATAAATGCATATAAAAACTCTCTTCACAATTTACAAGTTCTATGTATGAGTTTTAACATGCAGTTAATATGCACATCACCACAATGGGACCAAAGCCTGGCAAAGAATACAGACATTAACAAACATCGAACCCTGCATTTACAAGGGCAGTTAACTCAAATTACCTGTCAGGTAGTTAATTTTTAAGAAAACACGTTCTATAAATTAGCAATCTAGACAAGTTCTCCAGCAGCAGATCAGAATTTGAGTTAGGAGCAAGGAGTACCTACTACTTTCCCCAGAGACAACAGAACACAAGTTAAAATTGAAGTAACAGAAACATAGGAACAGTAGAAGGCACAAACCTTGACTCCTGAGACTGAAAAAACACACCTGGGAATTCAAGTGCAGCAGTAATGTTTGAAGTAAAAAGTCACAACAAGCCTGTTTCACACTTGCCACTGTTTTGAGATGGTCACTTCTATCGCAAAGTGAAGGCAATGACCTGATTTGATGGAAGAAACAGCCAGGAAACTACATTTTGCATTACTCTGACAAGTTACGAAAAAGTTTCTCTACAGGGCAGTGTAAAACATCCCCCTTTGCAGCAACACTCTGTGAAATCTTTTAAGAACCATCTACTCCCTACAAGACTGGTGCTAGGCAGGGGCTCTTGCCTTCAAATCTGTAACATTTCCTACACATCTGAGGGCTAAGAGTCACCATCTCTTGCTCTTTGAATGCAATTAAATATGACCTCAGTAGCCCTGACACAGCTTCTTGCTTAAAGTTTCCTTTCAACTCTGGAGCTGGTTCAGGCTGATTGGAAGGTTATGTGGAAACATTCCCAACAAGAAATCTGAGAAGAAGACTATAAATAACCATCGAAGAGCACAGACATCTCGAGAAATGCAAGAGAATCTAAAGGGTGCCAGATTTCCTTCACTTGAAAAGCTGCTTCCTTCCCCTTCTTCTGCCATTAAGTTTTCACAAATTTTACAATTGTTCTGGACATTTGTATTACAAGAGCTGCTCTTCCAGATTAGAAGTAGAGAACTAATCTTCAAAGCTGAAAGTACTACTTTCTAACCCTAACTGCTCTCCTTAAAAGTGCTCTATAAACAATGCTTTCCTGCATTTGCAGAGACAGTCTCCAAATCCACGCCCAGTGGATTCCTGCTCATTTTCTGCTTTGTTTAACCTACATCTAAGGGCATTACTGTTTAATAAGAACAGCACACTGATTCTGCATTAGCTAGAAAGTATGGCCAAATCTAATTACATCAAGTGGAAAAAAAAAAAAAGAGAATTAATAATAAGCTCAAGTCCATCTTTCGACCAGAGGAGACAGGTCATCAGCAGTTAGTTGGTGCCATCATCTGGTTGTACATTGTAATGAACTCAACCAGACTGAGCAGATAAGACTCATTTGAAATGACAGTACTGTGACAGTACTTACTTTGGTACATTTTAAATAGTTATTCGATTCAACAATGCAATATAAGACAAAGAATTGCTTTTGAAAGTAATTTATAATGCTGTCTGACAGATTTTATCTTTTCAGAAAGTCATCAAAGCTGGATTAACAGGTCCCTCTGTAACATCTAGACAGCTTCCTCATCTGGCAGGCGCATTTATTTTAGCTTTCAAAATGTAAGACAACTGGAAAAAAAGGTCTCTTCTAGCCAAAGAGATTTCTCATTATAAAGCAAGCAGGGGGTATTTGCTACTCTACTGAATATTAGCTGTCCTAGCAGTAAATATGCAGAAAGAAAACAGTATTTTATAAGAACAGGGCATCCATAAGACAATATAGTCAAGAACTGTGTTATTTCTGGACCTGATTATACATACTACAAATTGTCTACTTTTTCATTGTTTAGTTTAACATTCTTCTACACAACTTAAATACTGGCCAGTGAAACTAGTATCACTCTTCAACACAGCCATGGTTTCAACTCAGCAGCACAGCAGAAATAGCCCCACATAAAAACTTGGTTTATATGTCATCATGGCATTTTAAGACATGATTGTAAGAAGTAACTGCAAGGAAGCTATTTAAAGGAATTAAGTATTAGGCCCTGTTTTGGTATAGATAAGGATTTTATTTAGTTGTTTTCTTTATTACAGGCTGCACATTACTGATTTAGAAAGATGCAAGGCTGCAGTTCTTTTTAAATATAGAAGAAACTGTTTTGAGTAAATCTAGTCCAACATCCTCAGAGAAAAAAGTCTACAGAAAACAGAATGAAATGCCCAAATGCCACATATTAGAAATACACAACATGTTATTTTTGAAGTCATGCCAAGAAAGGCACAGTAACATACATAATTATGCAGGAAAAGATGAACGATGGAGTATTGTTCAAACAGCACATTTATTGCAGAAAATCTGTTCCCTAACCGTTGTTCCTGCACCTCATAATCTGATCCAAAAAACTTATCAGTCCCACATGGCTAAGCCCACAAGAAAGCTAAGGACTTGCTACGGAAAGCTTCAGAGTCTCTATACAGCAGAATGACAACCCATAACAAATAGGTTAAAAGCACAGCAGACTTACAGTGTCCCACATGACGATGTTGACATCAGTGCTGAAGGAATTATTGATATGCTGTGTAATATAAAGGTTGACAAAATCACAGAAGTGATGGTACATATTAACACCTGAGAAAGAAAGAATTGTTAGAAAAATATATTACTTGCTCCACTTTTTATTGTTTCATGCACTTTTCCTTTAGTAGTACCCCAAATTTTATATTAGCTTTCCCCTTCTTCTGACTGAATGCTTCTTATACACCCTAAAAAAAAGCAAAACCTTTAAAGGGAAGGAATCAAGGTAAGAAATCTGAAGTAAAACACGTTTTTAAGAAGTTCAGAGAAATCATAAGAGTGGCCAAAAGACAGGACAAGAAACAGAGAAGTTTCACGTGCTATTTCTCATTGCAGTCTGCAGCTGCTTTCTGAAGTATATGTAAACAACTACTGCTTTAACAATAACTAGTCAGACATACAGGAAACAGTAAAAACAGGCCTTCGGCACTGCTCTTAGTTCTGTTTTATTTGGGTTAAGGGAAGCTCTGTCTGCAGGACTACAAGACAGAACTTGTACTTGTGCAAGAGCCAAAGCCCAAGTCATTCCTCAGGTTCCTTCTCACAGCATTCTTGTTCATTCTTGGTTTCTTAAGCTAACGCCATAAGATCGCAGCACATAAAAATCCACTATAAAACAAAAGAGGTAACGTACTCCAGCTTCCTTTCTAGTGAAGACCAGACCCCAGTTTTAAGACCATGCGTACATAGCCTCTGTTTCTAAGCTTCTAACCAAAAACAACTGCCATGATAGGAACTAGCTGCCAGGCTTCCTATACTGCTCAAACAGCAATTTTCCCCCGCCTCTCATACAACAGCAGAGCCAGGCAAAGTTGCCTCCTGAGCCACAGCTAGACCATCTGCTCAGAGGTACAAACTGCCAGCACAGCAACTCTTCCACAGTAACTGCTCAGGGATCTGCAACAACTTTGCCTAAAATACGAAATACTGGCCTGGAGGGGAGGAGGGATAACTCAGTTTACAGTTGCAGTGTGTCACAGGGTCAGAACACAGCAGAGAGCTATCCAGTTTAAACCATAGCTTACCTCACAGCACCTGGTTTGTATGTCTACAACCTGAACACCCTCCTTCGTTAACATCTGTCTGTAACGTTTGCTGCATGAGCAAAAAGGCTGGTGAACTTCAAAAAATGTCAGATACCACTGGTTGATACTAAAGACGCTTGGGTACTGCCCCTCTCATGAATTCTGGTATAATGTCGCACAGTATTTACCACAGCTCTCTGTAGTGAGACAGCCAATTTCTCCCTGTAGTGGTGGCTTTTCACCTAAATGTGAAACTTTAAGATTAAAACAAGGCTGTGTTTTGGTTTGTTTGTTTTGGGTTTTTTGAGGAGTGGGTGAGGGGGAGTATTTTAATCAACTAACAAAACTTATTTCCTTGAACACTGCTTTTGAACACCGCTTCCTCTTCCATATGATTCAATACATAGAATCCTCAATTACTGAACACACACTGCAAGACACATACACACCCATACCTTCTATTTCATGGTATGAAAACTGCCATCCAGAAACACAGTCAAAATCAAGGACTCTGTACAGAAGAGCCTTTGATCCAAAGTCAAAGACTCTGTTAAAACACAGTCAAGAGTCAATGACCATACAAAATGCATGGCAGGAATATTTTTCTGATTTTTTAATGTATCTATTTATCTGTCGTAAAATATAAGGTTTTAAAATCTACGTTTCCAAGTCCATCAATGGAACTACAGAAAAAAAAATAGAATTAAAAAGTCACACCATTTTTCAAAAATAAAAAACATATTACAAGTTAACTTGACAATCACAAAGGCATAATGTAGATGGGCAAGTTTGATACAGGCTCTTTTTACTACAGTAGTGTAGGATAAAAAAAAACAACTAAAGGTACCAATTACCTGCATCTAATTTCATGAAGTATGTTGGCTTTTCAATAACAACATCACACTTCTTATCTTCTAGGGGCCTGAAGTTTAATGCAGTAAATGTCTGGAGTTCTGCAAACCTACAAAGATTCAATCACACAGAACATGAGAACATGCTTTGTCATTAACGCACTTAAACAAATGTACTTCATACATCTAAGATTTAGTAACTGTTCATCCAGTCTGCTTGATTTAACAGGACTGCTGAAAACTTACAGAGTCTGGCAATTAAAATGATTTGAAATTGTAATGGAAGGTTCTTCAGGTTATGAGCTTCAAGAGGTTAAACACTGCCTTTGAACTCGGGAGTGAACAGCATCTTTGATCTACAAATCAAGGCAGCAGAGATGTAACAAAGAGCCTTAGGGCCTAGATCTGTGGGTCTATCCAACTTGATCTGCACTGCCAAAGACACTTCAGCAAGAGCTTCCTGCTTTGGTCAGAATAATGAATGCAAATGCAATTTTTGTTATTTCTAGATCTAAACAAGGATGAGCAGTTGAGATGACAATACCAGGTAGAAAAGTCCTTTCCTCCTCTGCAGCTATTCTTAACCGAAACTGACCATCAATGAAAAATGAGAAAAAAAAGATTAAAACATCAGAAAAGTATAAAAATGAATTCTTATATGCACCTTAATGGCTCCAACTCCTTCATGTTTCATCAATTAACTGGCAATGCAGCTCTGAAGTGCTAATATGCAACCTGTGATATTTAACCAGCTACCACAAAGCACCCACTGCACTTACTACTCAGCCTGCGTACTGTCTGTTTTACATTGCAAACACATGCTATATGAACATATAGCAAGATCAGGCATTGCATTGGCCCCAACATCACCAGGGACAGTGTGAACTAATGCACAAATGGAAACTTTAAGGCATTTCACAAAAAACAATTGTCTCCTTCTACAAGCAGATTTGGCATAGAACCATCAACTTGTCCAGAAAACACCTGAAGGTTAGAACTTCAAATTCCAAGGCATTTTCAGATCTTTTGTTGCTGTAAATTAGGCAGGACACAATGACACACAGCATAGTTCAGAACATTCTGCATAGATGTAATTATCAGAGCTATCTCACGTGAACTCTCAAATTGACTTTAGAAAGGAGCAACTACTTCCTCAGTATGAAATGCTCTACACACAGCTGCTAGCGCCAATTACAAAAAAGAATTAGTAAGTGAACTCGGAAGCAGCCTTGACAAGTGATTCTTACCAAGACTGCAGCGGGCTCTTGCGCTGACCTTCAGCCAAAAATGCTTGAACTTCAAGGGTGCAATGACCTCCAATTTCTCCCTTCTGGAAAAAGTCTTCTTTGAATCTAATGCAAATCAGTAAAAGGCCATCAGCTTTTGTGCAACAGTGCTACAAGCACTCCACAATCTCAATTACATACTCAAGCCAGTGCTAGTTACATCTCAATTCAGCAAGGTACTTCATACATATTCAAAACCTGAGTATTTTCATCAGCATAAGTCAAGCATTTTCCACAATTCCCAAATAAAGACAGTGGTGTCCTTGGAGTTCTATACATCAATATAAAAGAAACAGCACTAATCCACCCAGAATGTTATTAGGAATCTTTTTTTGCATACCCAAACGAGTAATTTAATTAGATTTTGCTACATGATTACTTACAGGAGCATCATTAGTTGGGTTTTTTGTTTGTTTGTTTTCAATAACAATTTCTCACTGAAATCTACGTGAGATTTCACAACCCAGTTTGTAACCCAAGAATTTTATACAACATACAAAGACTGAGGTGCAAGAGTAGGTTTCATGGCCAAACTGCCAACTAAAAGCACCGGGACAGGCTGAAAAGTTGACAAAACCCACTCTGAAGGGTACCAGTGTCACAGTAATGAACCAGCTCTTTTCAAGTTATATGCCCAAGACACTGACTGTAAAGATAAGGCAGAAGGAAAAATGGGTGATGTCCGCATCAGTGCTATGTTTTTTTTAAACATTTTTCCAACATGTAGCATTTTAATTTGGGATGTGGGAGATTGAGGTTCAGTTCTCTCTTCAGTCTCACTGTATCTAAAAATGCAGTTCCTGCTTCTAGTATAAAGGCACCTGGCACAGGAAAGGTCTTCTCGGTGCCTCATACAAAAACAATTCTACTTTGCACATCACTTGACCAAGAAATGATGTGACCCAAGATACAGAAAAGTCTTCCTCTCTTCGATCTGAAAGGAGGATTTCAATCACTCATTATCGCTCCATAAAACTGAGAGCTTAGGTTTTTTTACATAACCTGTGCTGCTGACAACAGCAGCAGACAGCAATCAAGAGGCGTAGATCAATAGGTCTTCAGCAACAAGCCTCTGACCAGCAGTAAAGCCCATGGCAACAAGCACACCGGCTTTGTTATACAAATTCCTAAGTCCTTTTCCCTTCCATCCCTTAGTTTTACTGTTAGATAAGCAAATCAGAGACCTGTCGTGGTTTCTCTTTACAGTTCGTAAATCAATGTACAAGTTTGTTGCTCTGCAATGCTGGAGGTACCGAGAACAGGTCAGAGATGAATCTCCCTGTTAAGAAAAGAACAAGTAGGATTTGGTCAATAACAAAAATTATGTTTAAAAACACATGGAAAGTATCACATCTATCAGAAATACCTACTGTTGCTGCAGGCTTACAATGGGTTTTCATTTCATTGAGCCTCTCCTGAATGTAACCAAAGTCAGCTTGTTTCCAGAATATCTGTTGTGCTGTCTCAATGTCACTTGCCCTGATGTGTGAAGGAGAGAGGAAAAAAAAAATCAAGGTCCATTGCTCAATTCTAGCAATTACTTTAACAGATTACGTTTTTTCCACTGGAAGTGGAACAGAAGAGCCAGCCAGTCACTTCATTGACACTTCAGATGCAAAACAGGAAGCAATTTATCAGCTGCATGTAAGTGAAAGCATCGATGACAATTTAAAGCTCTTCTCCTGAAAAACGGTATAATTTTTAAAAACCATTTTTCCTCTGTTTTTAAAGCTAAGAAAGGAAATCCAGTTATTTTAGGAATCTGAATTCAAGACTAAATCACAATAATGAAAACATTGTGGCAGGAAACATTTCAAACAGTATCTTCTTCCTTAAAAAGTTCAATGTTGGGAGACATTTGTTATCTATGAATATACCTATATATACACATATCTCCACAAAGAATCACCCTCTAAACTTTAAATATCACAATAATGTTATCTTCACAGCTAATATGAAAGTGAGCGCTATACTCTTTTTGCAACATACTGTACTTTATACATTTCAAAAGAAACTTACCATCCAGTTTCAACATAATCACACACTGGGTAACTGAACCTGTAATCTGACTTGCAAGATTTCTCATAACCCCAGCAGGATTTTAGTTTCTTCAGGTATTTCTGTAACACAGAATAATTAAATCAGGTTATGCAACAGCAAAATAGAAAATGACTGAAGTTAGTTGTTAGCTTATAAACTACCTCTTGCTAATAAATCTTCCATTACAGGCTTTCAGTTTGGTCTGTTTTCAACCCGAGTTTCAGAAAGAACACTCAGATTCTTTATGCACAACAGAGGCTCCAAAGAGGACACACATGCACAGCAACATTCTCCTTAAGTCTATTCCAAGACAACCGCTTTCCCTGACCCAGTGAGAAGGATTCCAAAATTTTAACATCACTGACAGATACAGGTAACAAAGCTAAGGTCACACAGAGCACAGTGCCCCAAACTCCACGTTGAGCGTACCACTGCCCTCCAGGCAGATACAGAAACATCGGCTTCTGCAGTGCTGTAGAAAGCCAGAGAAGGGGTAGAACAGCTCCCACCCCCAGCTCTACAAAGCAGCTCCAGCCTGAGAGATGCCAGGATTGCTCCTGAGCCACACATGGCCCGCAACCTTAGGTTCCCTATCTCTGCTTCAGGTGAATAAATGATATGCAACCACAGGGTAAGATTAAATCAGTATTTAATTTATTTGCCTATACTCTTGGCAGTTCCGCAAAAGTACTACAGCATGCTAAAAATCACAGGCCTAGAAATCCCTGGCTGTACTTAGTTCAAACACCTTTCACATGCGCAAGAGTCATTCAGATTAAGATCATCATTTCAGCTCTGTAACAATTAAAAGAGGGGGGTAAAAAACTTGCAAAACAGCACATAAAAAATCCAATCTTGTGACAGCATCAGATTGAGGAAGAACCCCCTACAACTATTTCAAAAGCAACAATTCAAATTCCCAGTGGAACCAACTGACTGTCAAGTAGATCAATTCACCACCATCTTTAGCTGCTAGGACTCCAAGAACAAACCACCCCAACATGACATTTGAACAAACAAACACACACACACACAAGCAAACCTACTTTATATGGACAATGAGAGTCCTGCTTACAGATGCCAGCAATATGCTGATTATTGTGCAGAAAGTATGGAATATGCTCATCTGGCAAGTTGATAGCTTTGTAGCTATATAACGGCTCTTCTGGAACGTTTTTGAATTCAGTAAGATTTTCAGCTTGGGAATTAGCCAGAATTTCTTGCAGTACCAATCCAAATGCAAGCAATAAGAACATGGCAACCTATGAGTTCTGTATTTAAGGGGAAAAAAAAAAAAAGTCACTTAACATATCTGCAGCATAAGACCTTTCAAGCACACTAGACAATATTCAGCCAAAGTCAGTCATATACTCAAAGAACTTGTATTTCTAGGGTGGTTTCTTTTTCCTATAAAAAGTAAACTTTCACTGCGAGACTAGACTGTACAACGTCAGGATTTATCTTTGAATCATTAGTCACTGAGGGTTATTATGCACCACCAACTCACAGTCAAACTAAAATGGGTGTGTTTACTTTAGCTAAATCCCAAGGGATCCTGAGAGTTCAAATGTGGAAACTAAGTATAGAGCATATAATATCCAGACAGCAGGAAGAAAATGTCGAAGTATTGGGGGGGGGAGGGGTGAGAAGAATTTTAGTTTAAAAATAAGTATAAAAATAATATATTCTCCACTTTGGAAGAAACTACTCATTAGCTCAAGGAAAACTATCCAGTCATAAAAAAATGGTCAAACTGTTTCAGGATACCCATTTTTAGGGGTTAACATCATGTTAAACTTTGAATACCAAGTTACATACATAAAATTAGCAACAAGCCCCCACATCTATATAGTCTAAAGCAGACTGGGTACCTTTCTGGTAATACAGCCTTCTCACCAAGGACTCCTGATTTGAACCATTAAACTTCCTGAGAAAAAAATGGATGGCCTGTATCTCAAAATCCTTTTTTTGGCATTATAACTTGCCAAAATTTGCATGCTTGCTTCCAACTGAAGCCTTCAGCAATATTCCTACAATACAAGTAGTTTTACCTGTTTGGTTTGAAGAGAACTGCTTCGGATTTCCCAAGTACACAACCCTAGTTGGGGGGGAGGAAAACTAAGTTAAACACATCCTGCAAAAGGTGGTTTCCTCAGAACACAGTCCTGCTTCTTGAAAAACATTCACGGCAAAGAGAGCAACCCTCCAGCAGCCCGGGAGCATTCCCGACCCATCCGGATCCCTGCGGGACACCGCTGCCCCTTCCCCACCGCACACACCCCGGGGCCCACCGCACACACCCCGGGGCGCGGGGGGATCACACCGCACCCCCTCCCCAGCCCAAAGCCAGCACTGGGGTGTCTGGATCCCCACAACAGCCTTGCCCCTTACCCGTCCCCTGGGCCCTGGCTGAGGGTCGGTCACTTCAGGAAAGCACCGGACACCCGGTGCCCGGGCTAGTGCCAAGCTCGTACCAGACCCCGAGCTGGACTCGGCCCCTGTCCCACGTCCCACGCAGGCCAAGCC